GTGTTTACCAATTGAATTGATATTATTACACGTAAACATTAATATAAAATTTGGTTCACATTTTATAATATATTGTTACAGTAAGTTTTTAAACGATTTTGTTAGGTATGTATGTATTGGTTATTTAATTAATTATCTAATTCTCCATACTATTGCTTTAAATATGTATCATTGCACCAGACGCGTCCCTGGGGGGGGGGGCGAGGGGCTTGATCTTCCCTCTAAAAGCTCTATGATATTATATTTTGTTATACACAATATCCATAATTTTTAAGTACAAATAAGTAAAAATGCAACTGGTTTTAAAGGCCATAATGATGATTCCCGATCTAGGAAATATTTTGATTGAAACAAGAATGAAATACTTCTTATTTAAAAATTTCATAAAATATTCTTTTAACGGTGAGATAGAACTATGTAAAACTAAAAGGAAGCAATCAATTTTCAAAGATATAATAAAATAATTTAAGTGATTTTATAATTGAAATTGGAAATCATTTATTTAATTTATATTTTAGTTTCTAAGTGTAGCAAACAATATACCTATATTGGATTTACAATGACGTTTTTTTTTTACAAACGGTAACAAATCAGAAGTCTATCAGATATCTTGCTTCAATGTGGAAGTATAACATCATTTTTGAAAGTAAATATTGTTATATTTACTAGATGGTACTTTAGGAAGGTCATTTTTTGATTTTCCAAGCAGTTTTCATATTATCAGTAAAACCTAGGATAAAACGTAAGAAAAACTAGAAAATTTACGAAAATAATACTTTAATTATTTTCAATTTTTATTTTTATTTTAATTCAGTTAAAAATATTCGTACATATTCTTAGACTTGAAATTTGACAAAAAATTTATATTCGCCTTTTCTTGACGTAGTAAAATTGTTGAGCTATTTATAAACATTTTAATTTTGCGACTTTTGGATGTACTTTTCATTCGGTAGGTAATCTGTGGATAAAATTATTAGAACAAACAGAAATGCTTTAGAATTTAACAGTAGGTTGATAAAAATCGTACTTTGTAAAAAAAAATCTGAGCAAGATTCCTGGGACAAAGGTTGCACACAGATGAAAAAATAAAAAATATAAATAAATAAATATCTTTGTAAAACCATAAGCTTCTTCATCCCACTCAGAATCTAAAATTGTGTACAATCAATTCAGAAAACAGGAACTAAAACAAATATTTTATTAAAGTATGAATGTATATTCGTATTCGTTTTATATAGGAGGTTCTCAGATAGAAATCTACGATATATTAGGGAATTATATTTGTTTTTGTTATTAAATTTTTGTTATTTTATAATATTATTCATAAATCGAATGTAAACTCGGTCGGTCAGTATTATTTTTCTATATAGTATTTAGGGAGATGACGCCGCCCTGCCGGTCACCGCTTCCTGCGACCAATTTAATATTATTCAAAAGAAATAATTATTTTCCAATGCATGGTATTCTCCGCCAGCGGTGGCAGATGGCTGTACGGCAGCGACGGTGCAATATTCGTTTGTGCATCAACACACAACTATGCGTTCGTGTAGCTCGCTTGAATGCTTTTAAGCGCTTATCAGCTTCACGGCACCGTTCGGTTTGGCGTTTGATAGCGCTCAGACAACTATGACGTCACTGAATCTGAGCGTTACGTCATCGATCGGCGCTCACAAATGTTTTTCCCATCGAGGTAGGCCAGCAAACGCTCACAAGCTAATCAAACGATAGTAGATAGGCCGAAATAAATGATAAGCGTTTGACTATATTTTCACCTAATAGTAAATTATTATTTTTTGTAGAGTACGACCATGCTGTTTAGACTGCGATTTATATAAATTTATAGAAATAAAAATGTTTTAAGTAAATAACATTTTAACAATTTTGAAAATACCATCGTTAGTCGTTACAATTATATATACAGTTTTACACAGTTTTTACAGTTATTATACAGTGATAACAATTAACAGCTGATAACTTCGATGATTGCACGATCAATACGGTTAGATTTGCGTTCGTCTTGAGCCCACCAAGTAGTGTTCTTTAACTATATGTCTAAACGAACCGTTCATAAGCGTGAGCGTAGTGCCAGCAGTGGGAATGAAACGGTCAAATGCGCATGCGAGACTGGTGTAAAAATTGTAATTTGCCCATCCGTTCTCCGTAACCGCGAACGCTGCGTATTGTATACAATGTACTACAATGGCACACAACGTGCAATAACATTAGTTTTTCACGACTTTTTGTGTTAAATAATTCTTAGTTCTGTAAAATAATATGTATTCTTGTCTCTAAAATAAATATGAATGCATTTCTAGTTTATAATATATATATATTATAATAATTAATAGTATATTTTTATATTGTAGTTATATAATAAATAATAATATATAGTTTTCAAAATTGTGTATGGTGCACTGCTTCTGTGCACCATAGCACGAGTAACTACTGGATAAACCACAATAACATTTAATCATAAAGTGTTATAATAACGAAAAACGCAAAACATAAATATGATTAGAATCTATTGTACTTATGGATATAGAATAATCGGAGGCATATTTTAATCTATGATTGTATTAGAATTGTGGTAATTTTATAAATATTGTTCCTAATACAATGTATAAGATATTCAATTCCTGGTTCTTGCAAATTATGTTAATTAATTTAATGTAACCATGTTGAAACTAATACAAATTGTCGTTTTTTAACTTTTATAATATACTCATTTGCATTGCATAGGGAAAAAATATCTTTTACTCGTCTATACTACAAAAAATAAAAAAATAAAATATTTTAAACAATGCAAATTGAAATTTTGATTTAATTTTTTATGTTAAAACCTGATTTTAACTTATCAATATTATATTTGAAAAAATCAATATCAACCGTATTAGGTACCTTTCACATTTCATTTTTCACCAAACATTAATAGGAGAAGACGCTAATATATTAAATTCTGAGTGGAGCGAAGAAGCTTATGGTTTTACAAAGATGTTTATTTTTTGTTTTTTTATATCTGTGAACAACTTTTATACCAGAAATATTGCTCCGATTTTTATGTGTAACAAGAAATATACTTTAAAGAGGTAATTTTTTGTTTTTCCCAGAATTATTATCAACAAATGGGAAAAAACGGAAAAAAACTCGGGAAAATATACAAAATGTAGGTATTAGTTAAAAAAATATTTCGACTTTTTTGTCCTATCATTTTCCTGTCAAGGAGGTCGTTTTTCGATTTTCCCAAGAATTTTCCCATAAAATATCCAAATCTACATGTTCTATTTAGGAGTAACTCCCCTTAGTTCTAATATGCATTTCCTATTGTTCCCGCTATTTTTCAAACACAATTGCCAGTCCATCTTTCTCGAGCTTCTTGCAGCACACCTCAACAACTTTGATTACTTATTTATTATTTCTATGTAACCTGGCAATATGTAAATATAATATATTTAATTTGAATTGGTCATTTTCCAATTTGTGTAATATTCGTATAACCGTTTTTAATAAATAAATAGTTACTATGACTGATGAATCAAAAAGAGATTATGAATATGTCGATGAGTACGGAGAGTTTGAAGGCCATGAATTCGTGCCAGAAGAGGAAGAAGACGACCAGTTCGAAATCGACATCACGAAACGCGCAGTGGCTGAATTAGGGGTGGGTACCTATTGGTACTTATAACTAAAGAAAACCTATTGGTATTCCTCAGTTATAAGAAACATTTTTTTTTTTTAAAGAGCTGATATTGCTTATAAGTTCACTATTATCATAGGTGGAAAGTTGAGAATATAGGATACATAAAGTTGTTATATTTATTTCTTTAAAAAAAGATAAACCATCACGATTTTCATCAAAATTTGATCTTTAACTATGATAAAAATAAACAATTACATTGCATTTATTTATTTTTTAATATATAAACAACTTACAAAGAACCTGTTGTTAAATGTTTAAGCATTTTTGTAGGTTTAAACAATTGTATCTACATAGTAGCTTTCAAATAAAAATTACGCAAAAATCTCTTAAACATAAAAAAAAACTGATTAATCTTCAAAATATTATAATCGTACGTAAAAACGGTATTTTCCCGTGAATGAGTTTCGGGCAGTGGATTACTGAAAAAGTTTTATCATAAAGGTGGTTATTAAAATTAAAAGAGCTGATAATTTTAAGTTAAACAATTGTATACACAAAAATAACCACAAATAGCTCAACAACTCTTTGAACATTTGTATGAGTTTCGAAAAAGCTAATAAAAGTATTCTGTGAAAATTGCAGCTCTCAACGCGATAATTCATGTAACTAATTTAAAACAAAAAAAACCATAATCAATGGATATCGTAAATTTTCTTCCGGGTTTTCCCGATTATTATGAAAATTGGTTGGAAAATTAAAAAAACTACCTCTTTATGATTAGGTATCTTGTTAGTTTTTGATTGGTGCAAGATTTCTGGTAGAAAAGTCCTTTAAAGATAAAAAAAAAAAAAAAACACATACACCCATCATAGTCAGACCAATTCCTTGTTATGCTCAGAATTCAAAATAATATCGTATAAAACTCCGTAGTGAACGGATGTTCACTGTATAAATTATTTAAAACATGAGTACGATAGTTAACGGTCGTTTTACATAGAATACCATCTAAAACAGGTATATTATTTAATATATAATGGTCTTTAAATTGGATTAATTAAAAATCGAATAAACAGTCGAATAATATTATCGTTTTTGTTTCTGTGTACTCTGCGTATTGTAGGCTTTTGATGGTGAACGTAATAGTAAAAACCAGCGGCACGGATTCGGCAAAGCTATTTTACCGAATGGTGACACTCACGAGGGAACGTATAGAAACGATCAACGACACGGATATGGGGAATATAAATTCAAAAACGGTGGGAGATACAATGGTTGTTATAAAAATGATTTGAGAAACGGTCAAGGAGTAATGCAATACCCGGATAAATCTAAATACGAAGGTATTGATATTATTATATTGTATTTTTTGCAAGTAGTTTGTTAAAAGGTTAAGTTAGGTGACACTGTTAAGTGATGGCATGTAGAACATTTTTATTGTTTAAGGCTCAGGCAACGTCTATATGTACCAGTGTTACTACCATCACAGGTCACCACCACCTATCGTATAAACAAATCGGTAACAAAATGTTTATAGGTATACCGGTGATGTAAATTATCACCGACATTTTTTTTTCGAATTCTACATGAATTTTTTCAAGATCATTTCCAAAAAACTCATACATTTTGAATATTTAAATCCAATCAAATTTTTTTGTAGTAAATATATTATTATGATTTACTTTTATATTTATACCCAACAAAAACCCTCCGTCAACTATATGTAAAAATCTCGCTAAGAAAAAAAAAACTCAAGTTAGAATAGTTAAGATATCAGAAAGAGGCTAAGTAACTTAAGTTCATTAGTATAGAAATTGTTTATAATTGCTTGCATTTGATGAAATACGGTAATTCAATACAAATAATTTAACTTAACTTGGCGGCTACTAATATTTACGACTACAAATAAAGATACAAAGCTGACATAAATATTTACATCGCCATTTTATAATTTATTAATATTATCATAATACTATGAGTATCCGTCAAGCTAAGTTACATAATTTGTATTCAATTATCACACTTCATCAAATACAAACAATTATAAACAATTTTTGTACTAATGAATTTAATAAATTACACAAATGATTTATAAAATTGAAACAAATCATGTACGCAAAGCTATACTAGGTTTGAGTTATTCAGTATGTTATTAAATATTCACTAAATTACGAGACACAATAATTATTATGACGAAAAAAGTTAAAACTGACGAATAACAGTTTTTTCACTAGATTTTAAATTAACAAATTTTCAAGCTCATATTCCAAGATATTTATTCATAATCGTCAATGTTCTACGGTTCTATACAAAATTGGACTGGCTCGAACCACCAGTTCGCGATCGAGATATAAATCCCGTTTTGATTTCTCATTATATTAAAAAAAAAAGAAATGTTTGGGGATGGGAAACTATTTTTTTTTTATTTCCAACGACTTTGAGCGAGATCAAAATTGTTTTCCAAATTGTGAAGTAAGCCTCTCTAACTCAGTGCGATACTGATTAACATTTCCGATCACGTTATTTAAACCAAAAACGAAAAATTTTTCTTTATGGTTTTATTTTTCGATAAAGGCCATTGGGTCGATAACGAAAAGGACGGAAATGGAACCTTTACGTTCAGTAACAAGGACAAGTTTTCCGGTTCATGGAAAAACAATGTAGAACACGGCGACGGGACATATTCGTTTTTTAAATCGAAAGTCGTTCTCAAGGGCGTGTGGTCGAACGGGAAAAGGGTTTCGAATTTTCAATTTTACTTTCCCACAAGTGCATCGTCCGGGTTTACTTTTCACGGCACGTGGGACGACAACGAAAACGTACGCCTCTTTCTTACCGTCGTATTTTACTTCGTACACGCAGCTCGATAATAGTATAATAGAATTAATGTTGTTATTATTATTTTTTTTTTTTTTAAGTTCGCCGGCGAAGGATATTTTGTTTTCGAAGATTCAATGTGCATGCAACGAGGTATTCACGTAAACTATAATAATTACGGTACAGCTGGTACAAGTGGCAAAATCGGTAAGCAAATAACTAGTTAGGTATATAACAATGAATACATTTTTTTTGAAAATATCAAAAATATTTGCAGTATAACATATCATTATAATATATATTTACGTCGATGGCATGGAGTAAAATTATACGTTAAATATATTACTACGCACAGGACCTGTGTGGTGTTCGAATAATATTCTGCCAATCATAACTGGTTTGTTGCCCGGTCTGCCGAAAAAGAAACCGGGGCTGAAAAAAAGCCTGTCTTCTTGCGAAAAAGTAGGAGAAATCACCGATCCGCCCGTTATCGGAAGCGTGTCTACGTCATCGAGCCGTGTGGAAATGTACGTGTTAAAAGACGATTTGTGGACCGATATGGATGAACTAGAATCCTGCGAAGAAAGCGACGTTAAACAAGGCGTCAATGAGAACGATATTGAACAATTGTAATACAGTCAAATTCAAAAGGAATCTTTAAAAACGAAAAAAAAAAATTTAACGATCCTGTAATAAACAATAACGTTATAATAATTTATGTAGGTTAGCAAAAATCTATATATTAAATTTATTTATTATGTATATTTAACACTGATTGACAAAAATAAATATTCTCTAATGACCCATATAATATTTCAGCGGTTACATCAATAGTAACTGGTTAGTTGTGTCGGTAAAATTTGAATTTTGTTCTAATAGTATTTATAATATTATATAATATTATTAATACTATAAAAAAATAAAATACCTGTCCCGTCTGGCGTTGCTCGTGCCAAACAAATGTTTAATAAAAACGATTTACCTCTAAATTTCCTGTTTAAATTCCCGTTACTATCACTGCAATTTCTCCGATACACTCTATCCTTTAAAATCAACCGCATACCAATTTAGATGAGTAGTTTCGGATATTATCTGTTACAGAAAAAAAAAATCACCATACCGTATTATATATATATACAGAGTGATTTACTAAACAAAAAAAGTGCAGCGCTGCTACACAAATTATGCTTTACTACTCTCTCCCTGCTTAAACTTAAAAATAGAATATATCATGAACGAATTGACGGAAATCAAAAATGTAAACATTAAAATTATTTTATCTATTATTCCGTCTATTTATGTAATTTTTAGTATAGGTTATCATTTTAAAAACCAAATTTGGTATCACCACATGATACTCCTTAAATATTATGAAAAATCTTAGTATTATACGAAAATATCGTATTTAACTACATTTAAAAATCAGAATTTGCACATATGCATAATTTAACTCTAAAAGTTGGGTAAGGTAAGGTTAGGTTAGGTAAGCATGCTTAATAAATTACCTTTGTATAGATTATTATTATTTTTAATAACTTTTTGTTAACTTACTAAATTAAAATATTTGATTATTTATTGTAAAAAAAAGTGCATACAGGAAGATAATATTTTAATCAGGCTTTGCGGAGGCATCAGTTACAGTATACGTAAAATGTACGTATACTTACACTTATATTATATGAATATATAATATAAATAAATTTCGGCATTAACAATTATTTTATGCCCTTAAAATAATAACAAATTTCATTATACTAAAAGTTTTACATTAAATTACTATATAATATAATTCTTTATTAAATGATATAAACCTACAGTATATTTAATTGGGACTTGATAAATTAATTAAAAGCAAGGACCGAAAGATAATTAAGTATTAAAAGCAAAAATAAATAAATAAACGGGTTGGTTATTTTCACTCAGTAAAATTTATTGGTTTCGTATCATAGAAAATGCCAAAAATAGTACAATAAATTATATGTTATTTTGTATACATATTATTATCATTTAAAATCGTTTAAATTGATATGCAAACTAAGAAGAATGAAAATATATACAAAAATACAAATTCAGTTAAAATAATTGAGTCGATATCTAGACAAGTAATGATAAAATAAAATATAATCATAATTAACAATTGGATCTCGGACGTTCGGTTACAATAATTTCAGAAAACGAAGAAGGCGACTTGTTGGTGGAGAGCATGTTGAAAATAGGCGAAATGATGATGGTGCATATGAAGCTAATATAATATTATGGCTGAAGAAATGTTACTGGAAGAAGGACGATAATGGATACAGAGTCTGATTTCGAATGATCAAAAATGATTAATAAATAGAAATCGACGAAAATAGCTATTTTAGCATATTTCAGCATTTTGGTAAGCAAGGAGGGAGAGGTGGCGAACATGGGGCAGCGGAAACTAATAATGGTAAAAGTTGCAGTAAAACTGGTAGCAAATCAGATGCTGGCAAACATGGCGGGGGTGGTGGAGATTGGGGCAAACATGGTGGGGGAGCAGTTAAAATAGGTAACAGTGTCAATAAAAGTGACAATAAATTAGGCGGTAGTGGTGCTGGGAAACACGGCGATGACAATTGAGGTAAGGGCGAATATGACGGAGGGCCGGCCAGTAATGGTAAAAGATTCAGTAGAAGAGGTAATAAATTAGGCGGTGGTACCGTTGGCGATGGCAAACACGGAGGCGGCAATGGAAGTGGAAGCGGTGGAGGTAGTGGTTCCGGGGGACAAGGTGGTAAAGGTGTGCACTCGATTAATTTAGGACACGCTCCAGCCTAATAACAAACGAAACAATTAGATAATTTATTTCAAGTTATGATAAATTTAATAAGTTCCATTACCTTTGAAATGTAAACTAACGATATTGCAGTGATGATTCTTGAAACGTCCATTACGTAATCTGTGTGAATGTACGAATAGTTAATGGCTGATTGATCATGGTTTATCAATTCAGACGACTTTTATACTGAATAAGCGTTTCCATTGTTTTACAAACATTCACACGTCCGGACAAATTTATTAAATACTTACTATCTCAACTACTAGAATTTTATTTTTATTACACGGTAGACGCTTCTTTAAAGAGAAACAATATTATTTTGGTTTTAAATTTTATCAAGTGCATAACTATTCTGTTTTAATCATTATTAACCTTCAATTAATACATTTATTTTATCACTAAGTAAAAAGTTATTATTATTTTTACCAACTAAAATGCATTCATTAATTTAAAGTGTTGCCTATATAAAATGATGTTTGGTAAGATTTTAATTTGCAGACTTGAATAAATCCTATTTGAAAAAATAACTATCTAAAGCTAAGAGCTTTGTCAGATTTAAAAAGTTGAAAAAGTATGGTTAGATATAGGGTTTTAGATTCTGATCAAAGCAAGAAATGTATTGGTTTCACAATGATGGTTAATTTTTTTTAATGTTTACAATTTATACTAGAAATCTTGCTCTGATATATCAAGGATATCGTTTTTTTTTTTAGGGAAATTTTGTCTAAGTAGTACTCTGAACCGGTCATTTTTTGATTTTCCAAGTAGTTTTTTTAATAATTGAGAAAAACCGAAAAAAAAAACCGTAGAAAGAACGGGAAAATTTACAAGTATAATGCTTTTATTATTTTTGTTTTATTTGTTGTAATGCAATTAAAATATTCCTAAACACTTGATATCAGGCCAGAAAACTTATATTTGCTTTTTCTGGACGTGGTAAAATTTTCAAAATAATCGAGCCAATTTTGAGCTATTTAAGACTTTATAATTTTGCCAATTTTTTTTACGTAATTTGTCGTTTAATAGATATTCTGTTCAACAGGAGGTTCATTATAAGTTGTACTTTGTGGTAAAGAAGAAAATTCAGTTTAATATGTAGAATTTTTTTTTTATAAGATTTTTAATATCAAATTTTGACGAAAATCATAAATATATTTTATTAGCAATGGTTTTCGTTGCTTACCAATAAAAATTAAATAATTTAATAATGCATCCTATCTTTTCAACCTTTCACCTTCAAGAGTGGCACAACCGATCTCAGTATCAGCACTTTTTTATTTTATATCTAGATTTTTTTTTATACGCGATTAAAATTAAAATATGTATTAAATTGCGGAATTTGGACTACTAAAACTTCTTTTACTAATTAATACTTGTCATCAATTTGAGAAGAAAGACAATGAAGATTATAATTTATTTTTAGTTCAAAATGTTCAATTTAAGTTAGTCATGATTTAACTAAACCGAAATTACCTAAGAATCTTTTTTCGTAATTTATTATTGTCGTTACGTAAAGACATAAATTGTATTAAAATATTATTTACTAGTTATCCCGGTAATGGTTTACTATTTCTAGATTTGTTTACAAAAGTTATACCACAAAATATTAAAATCTCTGTATCAGCTATCCTTCAGAGGTTAAATTTTAAAAATTTCAATAGCTGTAATTCTTCTGAACACGCAAAATAGTTTGCGAAACACCCTGTTAAAATCGGTCTAGTTGTTTTTGAGTCTATAAACACAAATATTAATTTATATATATTTATACATATATATAGATAAATTAAGATTATATAAAAATAAACATAGATAAAGGATATAAAATATATATCCTACTACCCAAAAATGTTTAAAAATGTCAAACAAGTATTACTGGTTTTCAAATATATATCTTATGTACAATTTATTTTTATAGGCAACGCATTCTAATCATTGGATCATTGGAATCAATGCATCGGAGTTATCAAATATAAATATTTTTACAGAATAAAAAATTAAATGTATTAATTATGAGTTGACTATAATTAAATAAAATAATCTCTTGCACCTGTCAAAATCAAAAACTATAATATTATAGCGGTTGAGGAGAACATTAACTATCTTAAATAAATTTAGCCGGACGTGCAAACATATTCAAAACAATAGAAACGCCTTCAGTATAAAAAGTCAACAGAGTTGATACACCGACATCAATCGTTCACTGATCGTACACTTCGTGTATTCATTAAACAAAAATAATTATGAACGTTTTACGAATCGCAGCTGCAATATCATTAGCTTGCATTTCAAAGGTAAAAAATAATTTTGAGTTTTCCATAAATAATTTATCTAATATTTTTGTTTTTCATAAGGCTAAAGCAGGGCACTATTCATGTTTATGTCCTCCTGGTTTACTCGAATGCACACCTCTACCACCTTGTCTCCCGGAACTACTACCTCCACCGGTTCCACTTCCACTTTCGCCTTCGTGTTTGCCATCGCCACCAGTACCACCCCCTAATTTATTGCCTCTTTTACTGAAACTTTTACCACTATTGGCCGCCCCTCCACCGTGTTCTTCTCTATCTCCATTTCAAGCACCGTGTCCACCGTATCTTTCAGCACCTCTATCATTACCTCTCCCACCCCCATGTATACCATTACCTCCATCACCACCATCGAATTTGTTACCACTTTTATCGACACTCATACCTCTTTTAACTACCCCTTCACCATGTTTGCCTCTACCTCCATTGCCATCACCATGTTTGTCAGCACCACTACCCCTTCCACTCCCACCCCCATGTCCTCCAGCACAATTTCCCCTTCCCTCATGTTTGCCATTGCCACTTCTACTGAAACTATTACCACTTTTGGCTGCCCCACCACCATGTTCACCCTTACCTCCAACACCACCACCATGTCAGCCAGCACCTGATTCGTTAGCGTTTTTACTGAAACTTTTACCATTTTTAGCTACTACTCCACCATGTTTGTCACCCCCCCCTCCTTGTTTTCCAACATGCTGAATAGTCGTTTTCGGTTGATACCTTTTTATTAATGATTTATGAAAATTCGATATTGGACTCCGCATTCAATGTCCATCTTCCAATATAATTTTTTCCGCTTTTATATATTTCACCTTTATGTGCACCATTACTATTTCACCTACTATCAACATGGTCTTCGTCTACAGGTCACCCTGTTGACTGAAGTTATTATAACCAGAGATCAACGATTCAATCATCAGCCATCAATCAGGATTATACCAATACTTATCAGTAATCATCAATTGCTATATCGTTTCAATTTTTTTTAACTTAATTTGATTTCTGTTTATTTCCTCCTACCTTTGATAATTTTATGTAAATTTATGTTTATAATTATTATATTTATTATTAAAAAAATTATAAATATGTAGGTATATAACATAATATATAATTTATTATACCTTAATTCTATTTTGTATGATATTCAAACCAATAAATTTGTCTCATTGAAAATAACTAACATGTTTATACCTATTTATTTCTGCTTTAAGTTGAATATAATACTGAAAGTGTTTAAAAGTATTCAAGTAAATATATAATTTTAATATGTTAATACAGTTCTACCGAAGGCTTTGTGGTTTAAAATATAAATTTTATCAATTTTTGGAAACATCTTACAATATAATATAATGTTACAAATAACACAACATAAATGTTTCTAAAATTAATTAAATAATTTAATTGGTTTTGTGAGTTAATTTAAAAAATATAAGAATATACTTCACTTGATGGATGGGGGCAAATGTTGTAAATGAGAATTTGGGAAGATAGAGGAGAAATTTAATGTATATTTGGATACAACGATTAACAATTGCTAATGAAAAACGATTCTGAGCGAGATTCGGTTAATATTGCTGCTTTGTAATATTTACAAATTAAGCCATAATATTTACAAATTTCATCAAAATATAATATAAAAAATTCTAACAAAAAAAAAATAAAAAAACTGCATTACTCAATTTTTTTTTTGCCCCAAAGTAAGACTTATAATGATCCTCCTATTACATTGTCTAGCATTTCTTTTCGATCTAACGATTTTATCCAGAGAGTATGAACAAAACAATATTACGAAAAAAGACTAGAAAAACTTAAAATGTTTATAAATAGCTCAAAAGTAGCTATAATATTTTAAAAATTTGACTACATCTAAAGAGACAAATATGTATTTTGCATCAAAATTGTAATTCTCTTCAAATATTTTCAACTGAATAAAAACAAAACAAAACAAAAAAGAGCTGATACTGGGGATAGATGGAGACTGTTATAGGTGAAAAGTTGAGAAGGTAAAATACATAAGATGCTATACTTGATAATCGGAGTGAAAATTCTGGTAGAAAAACTGTTCACATAAAAAAAAAAATAAGCATTATTGTAAAACCAATACATTCCTTGCTCCGCTCAAAATCCGCTCAAAATTTAAAATATTAAAATGCCAATACGAAAATTGGAAGAATTTGAAAATTTCATCACGTCTACAAATGTCAAACATTCTGTAAATTTAAATCATCTTCGATAGTTTTAAAATCAATTTACAACAAAAATCTGAAATCTAAAATATCCAAACCATTGTTGTCGTAATCTTTCCTGTATTGCCAGAAAATATTAAAACAGTTTTTTTAATATCTTGATTGAAAAAAAAAAAGAGATTTAAAAAAATGTTGCAACTACCTCAAAGACGTTATTTTAAATTTTCTCAATGATGTTTAAAATATTTTATAATAATATTAAAAATAGTTGATCTAATTTAAAGACCAAAATTGTTTTTATTCATTGAATGTTTACAATGTATACATATTTAGCAAAATAAGTAAATGAAACGAATACAATTTTTTTTCTACATTTCAATATCATAAGAAGGGAGGCTATCCAATTATAGAACCCAAATTAGCATATGAGTTATTTTCTTTTTATACATTATTTCAAAACAATTTCGTTTAACACAAAGTGTGTCATACTATACACATTTTTAGTCTCTGGAAATTCATTCCGACATTTATACACGGAACTCAACAAATCTTAGCATTTTCAAAGTAATATGTTTAACAGAACTTCGCTCAGAATCCATCTTCGTTAGCCATGAATTGTCGTTTAAATTAAATTACACTATGTAAATTCTAACTTCCCGGTTTCCCTCTCACAACAATGATACATTCACCAACAGTATCAACTCTTTTTGTTTAAATTGCGCTTTTTCGAAGGATTCGTCTTTCACAATTTGTGTATATTCTCGATTTTTGTTTTTCTTTGTTGCGAATTTTTTGGATTACTCATTTAAGATTATTGTTTTCTCGTTGTTAAATATTATATTTGCTCCGTTTATCGTCATGGCTCATTCAGTGGTAAGTACTGATTTATAAACAACGAAGAATGAAAATGTTTACATTTATAGATTAATTGGCGGATTTTATTAACATAAGGAAATAGGGTATCGCGAATACGATCAGATCGATCGTTTACCACTTGAACCCGGCCAACTTTAAAGTTATGGTTTGAAAAGCTATGGCACTACCGGTGATGACCAAAAATGACCTGAACAATATCGTCAATGCGATACATGCCCGAGTAAAATGATTGGATACGATAATAAATCGAGCACGGATATTTTTTACGTGATCAATTATCGTAATGTCGTGTATATTTCATGTCATTTAGGCTTAGGTACGTCCGAGATCCGTCAAATTATACGCTAAATTGAGCGGCGGTATAATTGGTGGCAGATTCAACGGAGCACGTCCCGGTTCAGAACCGACTTTTCACACGGCTTTGTTGCCGAATTGTATAACGCATTGAGAGAGTCTCACGAGACTACGACGGTACCGATACACAAACTTAAAAGGTACCTAATGGCGCATAGGACTTTTCAAAAAGTAATGCAATTGCATGTACTCTCGAGGAGAACAGATGTTAAATTGCTGGTGAATCGGTACCGTGACCTAAAACGGCTACCGTGAAAGGAAATAGAGGTTAGGCGGATTAATAATTTTGTTAACTGCGTGTGCTCACAAAATGTTTTTATGTATACGCATATTTAAATACATAAAAAAAAAAGTATTTTTTCGTGAATCGCATCTAAATTTATTCTCTCGTTTCAATTTACAATAGGATATATTCATGAAACATTATAACAAAAGGCGGGTTTTTCAAGTGCTTTTTTTAGATAACTGAAAATATTGCGGTGTGGGCAAAACACCTGGTGGCAAGGCGTATACTCTGGGCATTTCAAATGGCGGTTGATAACAGTTTTGTGGACATTTTCTATCGTTTGTCGAAGTACAGTCGTACGATTTTGACGGGTGTGTGGTGAAGTATATATTTGGGGCTTTAGGGGGCGGCACAATTATTGGAGCTGGTGAACCAGCCGTGTTGTCTTCGCTGATCACTATGGGACCAGGCGTGGAGCCCGGCGCGACCAACGGCGGGACCGGACACGGCTGAGGGATGGATATGACGATGGACGGAGGCGGTCCAGACGGCATGAAAATTGGCGGCGGTCTGCGTGAGGCTTTTGGCAAATTTATAAACATGGGACCCGGAGCCGGACCCGGAACGATGACTTGTGCCGATGGCGAAGGCAGGGGAGGCAGTTGGGTGAAAACCGTGTTTGGTGAAGATCCGGGTGGTGGCAAGAGACCGGATCCGGACAAAGTTTTCAGGAGCGGAAATATCACGGTGGGAGGTATAGAGGTGATCGCCGAGGGAGCCGCGGCCGATACCGCGGCGAGCAATACGAGGATGGAAATGGGGGGTAATTCTTTGAGCGTTGCAGGTGACGAAGAAACGGCGCTCAGAAGATCGGTGAGCGTAGACGGGGGTAGAGCTTTGAAGAGCTGTGGCGTGGCCGACAATGTGTTCGCAATGGACACTAGGGCCGGAGCAGGTAAAGATTTCAGCGTGGAAGACGAACACAGAGTATTGAGCAAGGAGACGATCGGCAACGTTTCGTGCTGCGCCGCGTCATCAGAGTCAGCTAGTGCGGCATGAGGACCCGCGAGAATTCCATTGGAACCCTAATTGAGGAAAAAACGATACGTTTTTAAACAACAATTTTTTATTATTTTTTTATTTAAATTATAACGTGTTTTAATATAGGTATTTATCATAATATGAATTGCAATTTTCAGTTATAGTAAAAAGTGTACATACAAAAGCGGGTTAATACTGCTGATGGGCGGGCCACTGTTTTTGTAAGAAAGTTATTAAAAGAAAAGATATATAAAGTAATTTAATTTATATTTGTACGCGACGATAAACCATTGATAATGAAAAGCGCTTATGATTATAAAGTATTACAAGTCGAGGTAAAACCGATATACCTATTACTCGCTTCAGTCAGAATTTAAAATACTCAATCGCAAAAGAAGTTTGAAGTAATTATTCGATTTTCCGTTTGATTACCCGTAGATTTTATAATTTATGTACCTATGCCAGTTCTGTATGTTGTTCATGTAGGTTACCTACCTTAAGTTCCAAGGAACACGCGATCAGGTAGACAACTAGAGCCGACCACTTCATTCCAAGACTTAGCCGGATAACTGGATTTAATCGTAATGCCATCGCAACATGCTTTTCACGTCCTTATATAAGAAATAGTTAAGTGATAATAAATCGGCGACAAAATTTGTTTGACATTACGTGATAACCGAAGACGAAGAAGACGATTCCGTTGGGCTCGATTAATTAGGTACGTGTTATTGTAACCGTAAACCAGCGACGATTGATAATATTCCGTGGAATATTATAAAAATCTGGACCGATAACAATTGTTTTTTTTTTTTCGTGCGAGATAACAATTATTTTATTTAAGATAAAAATGTTTTCATTTTGTTTGATTTCTTATTAATATTATCGTCAATATTTACTCGCGAGTTCTCACAGTAGTCACGAAATTCGATATAATCGTTGACGATTTTAGAGGCCGTCGAAGCAAACAAATTAAAACGTTCACGTCTACCACTACTCCGTTAAAACTTGTTGCCCCTATTTAGTCGTCTTCTATAATTCCTTCTTTATTTTTATGAATCCACCTGTCTTTGTACATAGATCCCTCTACCCACCCCCCTATCCGGCTGAAGGATCCTTGCCAGACCCTGCAGTTTAGGATATAATTCGTTCTCGATTTAGTCCTTAAATTATGCCGTGACCGAGTCGACCCCCTGGGATTTAATATTTCTTATATTTCTTCAGATCCTTAGATCTTAGATCGCCCTCGGGTATCCTCTTGCAGGATTGTGATACACTCATGTGAAATTATGACGCTGGTCTTACGGTTTATTCTGCAATAACTTCGATCGTAAAAATAGATTACATAAAAAAAAATAACAACAACAGATAAATATTAAAATTCGTACTATAAAATACATAGTAAAATTACTACACTAACATAACAATCGGTGAATGGTAAATAGATGCTAACAATTATTGATTTTTAATTGTCAAGGATTAAATTAACTGTCGGTTTTAGATATAATATAAATATTTTACTTCCCGTAGCTATAATAATTATATTCAGTTATAATTATAATAACTATATAAATATATATATATATATAAATTGTTTATTATTTAATCGGGAAATTCACATTTTTATGTGTATCATTAATTCAACAGATTTTTTTATTTATCGTAATGAAATAATGTAGCATAATAATCATAAATTGCATAATGTTTTCTTAAACTTTTTTTTTTTTATGTATACACAGGATATTATTCAAATTGCATATTGGATTGTTTCCTAGGTTATACAACTAGGTTTTCCCAATAGATAAAAAAATATTTTTTCGCATAGACTTTACGTATTTTATACCTTCAAAAACACACTACAATAATCGAACTGGGACATTTCGTCGGGGCGGCCGTTTCGGTGCGATGTCCATTTTGATGTGAATGTTTAGAATTTGGAAATTGTTTCAATTTTATGTGTTATTACCGCCACGTGCCGTCATTTTAACATAGAAAATAATATTATAAACAATATACCGTACAAAAACAAGATACAATTAATAATATAATAAAATAAATTAAATATTTTGAAATAATAATTACACGGTGATATATTATACACCATGTTGCCACATTTCAAAACATATTTTTGATTTTATACTCTTAAACGGTGTTGTTTATAATATAATCATATTCACGCCAAAATGGGTCCCACGCAGAAATAGCTCACGCCAAAATGTTCGAATTAATGCAATCATATCTTTCGTGTGTTATTCAACTGCAAGGTTTAACACATTTATGCCATGACATTCAGGTAACGTTATAACTAAGGTAATTCAATTAAAAAAAAAAAAAACGATCGATGCTATCGATGGACATGCCACTGTTTGTTGAAGATATATAGAGTAATTTTATATATGCGCATGACGATCGACCATTGCTTGCGATTCTGAGCAGATTAGGTATTATGAGTCGTATTTTTTTATTTGTTGTCAAGGTAACCCCGAAATCAGCAAACAATTACAGTAAATTTTTTTTTTTGGCAGTTTTTTCCATTTATTAAAAAAAAAATTGACTTCCCCAATACATCGTTTGGATACTAATGTTACAAGAAAGTACATGTAATGTTTTTGATCGGAATAAAATTTTTGTACATAAAAGTTGTTTGCAAACAATTAAAAACACGTCGTAGTAAAACCAATACATTCCACGCTTCACTCAGAATATAAAAAAAAAATATATCTTATATTCAATTATGTTTAAATCAAACGAACGTAATATATTGAACGTGTGTTAGTAGTGTTCAAGTGCCTATCGTTTAGTACTGTACCTAACTAACGTTTGTTAGCACCTAACGTTAGGTTATATTTAGTTTCATCGCAAACTAATATTATAATAATATTATGTTCGTTGCATCGAATATTCTCCGTCGATAAAATTATTACAATCATTATTTTCAGGTAGTGAACGAACAAAAATAAACAACGATACACGTGTATATCTGTAGATAATATAACCGATGCGCGTATTATTGTTTACGCAAATATTGCATTTTGACACGTGTAGTCAATTGTTTAATTGTTGCCGAAATAATAATAGTTTATGGACTATAAAGTAAATAATTTATGTATTTAAATTAATTCAATTATAATATTACAAAAAAAAATAAAAAAAAAAAAAAAACGGAAATATTGTACAAATGTGTAGGCGGTACTTACTGTAACTAATATTTAACCTATAATACCTAATAACTTAACCCGTAGCCTATACTTACAGAAAAACATGTTTGTTTATAGTTTATAATGATTTGCGTTTTGGCAATGTGTTTCAGTTTGAATATCACAGACGCATAAAGTGTTTTGATACGAAAACGTCGATATGAATAAATTCTTCGTAGGTTTTTAGTCTTCAAATGTTGCATATTACTCGTAAATACTCGTAATTTTGATTCATCGTTCGCTTTAGGTACCATATTATGAAATGTAATTTCCGCTTATTCGGGCCGACTATAGGAAAAAACTATGCAGATTATATTATGCTTATATACGAAATTGTAATTTCGTTTGTAAATATTGTAAAAGGTTTTTTTTTTTTATTAACGACTAATTCAATAATATTTTGGTTTAGTCGTTGCTGTTGTTTGTGACAAAATATTTGACGTATGCTTGGCTCTACATCACACAAACGGCAGTACCGATGTAATAATATAACTGTGTTAATTGGTTAATAATTTTGCCAACAAAGATTTTGTGCTTAATAATAAGTTTCAAGCACACACTTTGCCCCTGAAATCGTCAGTTTTAACATTGGATTCAGATACCAACAAGGAAGTTTATGTCACAATGCGATGGCATTGAGTGCGTGCGGTTATAATATTATAATTCATTACTTTTAATTTTGTATTATAATAATATTTTTACAGAATTATTATCGCGAAAATTCAAATAAAATAATTTCCTACGAAACATCTTCAAAATATATTTGAGGTATTTTATTTTATTTTTCGAACGTACTGTTAATTGTTTAAACTGAACTTTCAGAAAAAAAAAACAAACGAAACTTGTATTTAGTTAGTAGGCAAGTACTTTATACGATAATAGAAAACGAATAATATATTTTTTATAGACAAGGGAAATAAATTATCAAACAATATTTTAGGTATAATAATACTACAATTAATATTGTTACGTATTATAAATGAATTGTGAAATAACTGAAATGCACATTGTTCGAGACAAAACGAATGATAGTTTTAAACTCCAAATACCTAATAAATTAGCGACAACCACATGATACATTACATACAATTGTTTAAAGGTTTTTAAAAATTCGTTTACAGCCACATAATAATATTCAAATAACATTATATTTTTGTGATGAGACATTAAGTATATTGAAATATCACATATAATATTATAATTAGATAATGAATTAACTGCGTTGTGTTCCAACAACGCAATTTGTTTGTTTGTTTTTTCTCACTAGATACGTGGAAATTCAACTAAATCACATATGATAGTAGATAATCTATACATTTTATATAAAATAGCATATCCTGATTTTTTCATTATCGCTTAGCCCAAACCATTGGACGGATCTGGCTGAAATTCGGCACACAGATAGCTATTATGACGTAGGTATCCGCTAAGAAAGGATTTTTGAAATTTCAACCCATAATGGGGTAAAATAGGGGTTTTTTTGTATATTCGGTACGAATGTCTAATTTTTTATTCATTTATTTTTGTTTATTCAAGAGTTACCTTGGTATTACGGAAAAGAAAACTATTACGATTATTATTATCACTTTTACTTACACTAATCAACAATATAATTTTTAATTAATCATTCGAATAATAAAGAATGCTATAAGTAATATAAATAGTAATTGTATTTGTCAACCCTGAGATTAATGATCTTCACGTTTGAGGAGGTAGGTAAACTGATCTTCGTCGGTCAGTACAGGTAGTTTTGCAGGAAGTGATCTAAGGAAAGTGGTAAATTTCGTGCTATGAGAAAAGCACGGACGAGGACTGAAAGGAGGTGAAAACGGCGATGAAAATTTCAATGGAATAGGCAATGAAAACTTCGGAATCGTTTTGAACGGTCGGTCGGTCGCTAAAGAAAACGGAAATTTACTTGGTTCATAGTCGTTGAATGGATCCGGAAATCGGATAGGCAGCTTCGGTGATAACTCATCCAAGTCGACGGCTGTAGCCTTGTTAAAAAAAAAATGTGTATATCTGTAGTTATAAAACTCGTACGCACTCATACTATTAGTCGTACGATTTATATTTTCGTTTATAATCTACCTTATTAGCTAGACAAACTACCGACAAAGTTACTGCGATACTTAAAATGTCCATTTCGTGAAAAGTGAGTGGGACGTAGTGAAGTGCGTAAGAATAATGTACGTTGACTGTTGAATAATAATTTGGTAAAAATATAATATACTCGAAACATTCGCATATTCCACTCCTTCGTGTGTTTCCGAGATAAGTGACGTTATCCATCCGTTGTTTACTCCGAAAACTACATTCGTTCGTTTTGTTCAGTGTAAACGTAATAATCGTAAGATCGATTGTCCAAAGAGAAAAAAAGAAAAATTGTCGTCGGCACATGGCTAAACTAAAAAATTATCTATGTTGATGCTAATTTACATTATACAGTACAAGTATATATTTATTTGCATTTGTACTTATTGCAAGTTGGGCAAATTTACACCGCGAATAAATCACACAGCTATTTTTTTAAATGACAATAATGATTGTTTAGTACGACTATATAAAATAAATGTGTGTTTAGAAGAAAAAATTGTTTAATATAAAACGTTAAATTTGAAACAAAACATTGTTGTGTTAAACGCTTAGAATTGAAATAAAAAAAGTTGGGAAGGTAGGATACATATTATTATTATTGGTTATTGAATTATAACAACGTATGTAACGATACAGTCATAGCTAATGAAATAAAATACTCATTGAAGTTTAATTACATATGTTTTAAACGTGTCACGTGTTTCACGATGTTTTTCAAAATTTGAACATAAAAAGCTTAAAAAAAACTACTATACAACACACTATCAAACATCGTGTAAAATTGTCAAACATTTCTGCTTGGCCAAAAAAATATTATCCTAAAAAAAATTAAAAACCCCAAAAATACCAAATGCCTAATAATAATTAAAAATATTTTTAATATTTTTAATAGCTTTAAAAAACTTTAAGTCTCTACGGTTATTTTTAAACTAATTATAAGAAAAAAGACGGACATACATCGCATGTGTGAAATTTAATGTAAATCTATTTACCGTGATGGTTAATCATTGCTAACAAAGAACGATTCTAAACGAAGTTCGGTTGTACTTGTTTTTAAAGGTCATACTATTTACAATTTGAAAATAATACATCTTGTAAATTTCACGCTTTTACTACGTTCTTTTCCGATATTTTTCATTGATTATAAAAACCCCTGGGAAAGTCAAAAATTGACCTGCTTAAAGTGTTACTCCAAGAAAATTTTCTTTGAGAAAAAGTTCCACACTTGTACTATTAGAAAAGTTGTTCACAGAAAAATATAAAAAGAAATCCTACTAATATTATAAATGTGAAAGTTTAAGAGTATGTATGGATAAATGGATATTAATGGTTAATCTTTTACGCAAAAACTACTGAACGGATTTTGATGAATTTTGGTATAAAGATAGACGTGAGAAAAACATAGGCTACTTTTTTCATTAAAATAAAACTTGAAGAAGATGAGATACGGTATGAAAGGTTTTTAGGTATTTATAGGTACGAAAATTAAATTATTTTTGTTGAATTATGGATAATCATAGTAACACGAATGACATCAAAAAAAAATTTTAAAAATGATAAACAGAAATAAAAAAAAGAGTCCTAAGATAATGGGGATGGTTGCAGCCACTGTTATAGATAATTTAATGTATACCTGTAAACAATAATAAACCATTGCTTACGAAAAAATGATTCTGAGTGGAATTCATTTGATAATGATGTTTTGTCAACAATATAAGAATATGTCATTTTATAGTAAAATAACTAAATAGGCTTTATATATTTTCGGGGTTCCAACCAATGTATTATAATATCCACTTGTAGTTTTCCGATTCAAATATCGGAATATCGGATATCGGAAAAAAATCATATTGACTCACTGTACTAGTATATTATAAAAATTAATAGGTATCATTAGATTTAAGATTGTATAATCACAAAGCCAATATTAGTAATATTACAATATGATGGTATTTTAGCTGTTCTATATGATATAATTTACAATAATTTTCGTATCACTAGTTAATATTAATAAAAACCTAATAAATGTATTGAATTTGACATGTTTAACCGATTCGATAAATTGAAATTGGATAGCGGCTGAAGGACGTGTTTCTCACGGTTTAATATATTTTATTAAAATATAATATTATCTACATTAAATATTTTATCGAACCCACAATCAATTCATAAACAAAAATTACGACTAAAATGGATTTTCACAATCGCCTTATTTATGAACGTGTATGTATGAAAAACAAAATGTAAAACGGTCGGAGTATAAAAGTCAACTGTTTGGTGGCTTCACATATAACATTTTTAATGTCCATCGTCCTCGAATGGTTGTATAAGCATAACAAAAAAAATGAATACTTTTGGAATTATAACCGCCTTGGCGGTGGTCTGTTTGATTAAGGTAAGATACATAATAATAACACGTAATTAAGTAGTTGAGCACGCTGTCCGGCAAAACTAATTGTTTTCTTCAACCAGGTCGAAGCCTATCCATGCAATCCATGTTTACCTTATATTCCTACTAATCTGAGTCCTGCTGCGTTGGCTTCCCTATTAAATCTTCTAAAAGCCCCGGTCCCCGCTGTGGCCAATCTTTCTCCACTCCGGCTGCCCTGCACTCCTCCGGCGCCTGCTTCGACCGTGTCTACTACCCTGACCGTTCCGGCACCGGCAGCTCAAGTCATCGCTCCGGGACCAGCACCAGGACCGCTAGTTATTCAGTTACCTTCAAAATCATGCAGATTACCTCCGGTCGTCATTCCAGCCGGCCCGTCTCCAAATCTGGTTGTGAAACTCAACCAATGTCCGCCCAAGCCTCCCGTTATCCTCCCTCAAGCAGCACCCGGCCCCATTATCATCAAAGAAGGAGACGTGGTCAAAAATCCGTGTTCCACGTTTGCTCCGGCACCCTCTGCACCAAAAATATTTTTCACTCTACCGACCCCGGCACAACCTCCTCCGGTAGTTTTACCACCTGCGCCACTACCACCTGTGTTCTACAAACCAGGGAATTTTTTCCAAAAACCCGATATTGTTTATCAAAGTCCAGTCGGACTACCACAATTGTTTTTGATTTCATCCCCATGTCCATGCCCACCACCATTGATGCCACCTCCCGGTCCGTGCAACTTGCCGCCAGTTTTAGGACTAGCTCCTTGTCCTTGCAGCTGTTAACGAAAATGTGAAAACTTATCATGTATGTTTCGTTTGAATTGCGTTTTAATTTTGAGCGATATGTTATTTATAGAATAATAATAAAAATAATTTTATCATGCGAAAAACAAACGATAAGAAAATTCAAAAAAATATACAAGTCGTTTGTCGTCAAGTTTTATTGTACTATTTTCTTAATAATCGCTCAATACTCGTGTCTGTTAGTTTTCGCTCATTATATATATTTCTATTTATATTGTTTAGTTCAACTACATCAAAGTATATTCTTGGTCATCAATTTTGTAGGATTGAATAAACTGAGAATTGATAGTACGCATTTTAATAATAAAATGTGACCCACGGACCACGATTATTTTAAACGCAGTGTTTATAAAGTGTAATAAATCGCACAAAGTATTATTATACCAATACTGTTGTTTTATCTATATGTTAAACTGCTAAGGTTAGATTAAAAGGAATATTAAACAATTCATTTGTGTACAAGAACGTGCAGGTATCGGATGTGAAAGAAAAATCTCGTCTTTGTCATATATTCATACGCATTGTTAGTTTTTAAATAAACACTATTGATAATATACGCGGGTTCCTTATTGAAAAAAAGGTTATCATAGATAAGGTTTTTTTGAAATATTCTGAAATCTTACCGAGTTAAATTTATTAAGATAACCCCAAAAATAGTCGACCGACTCGACTGATTAGGTGATTCCGCTGACCGTCGCGCTCCCGACGGTTGATTTATAGAAGTATACTACATTCGTTTATTGTCACAGAAATCGAATATGGGCCACGATCATGTTTCTTTTGTACAACACAAAATAATATAATGACTAGTGTTATTGGTGTTTGACTTGCCTACTATAATTTAAACTTCAGAGGGACCGATCTTATTGTACGGTATCCAACGGATCTCTGGAATCAGTGCTGGCGCTTTTTACTACGATGGGGAGAGGAAATACAGAAGCGTGGTCGACTACATAAAATAATAATTCGTGAACACAAATTTTTCTAGATTGTAATAATTATGACGAAAATCGCTTTTCGGTAAACAAAATAAATTTTTTTACCCGAAACGGTATGTATAATACGTATTATAATGATCACATATTTTATAATAAATTAGTCGTTATATCATCATGACGTCAATACTGTTAATCGTTGTTAAATACAGTGACAAACATCATTTTATAGTTCATTAATTCCGTACTCAACTTGGATTTCGAAATATCGTGTTCTACATCAACCGTTCCGGGGTATAGTTCATTTTATGGTTATTGATCACTGTTATAAATATAGGTATGTAAATTTGTGCGAGTGTTATGTTTTATTGTTATACATTAAGCCGGCATTTAACTTTTTTTTTTTTAAATACCCGCGCTCAGCTCTCATCGAGTGCAGAACCCATCGCTCATCGCAGGTACCTATACCAAAATAATAATAATATTTCGAGATTTTAACACTTTTTCTTCTTTGTTAATTCGTTTCCGTACACCGTCAACAATACGTATGTTTTACCCGTTATTATAACGTTTGAAATAATCATAGTATTTAGTGAAAATTAAAACGAAATTTGTAAGATTATTATTTTTGTATAATTTCAAACTTTACTTATCATATGTATAACTCATGTGTTTTGAAAAATTTTATTTTAGAATACGTTTCATAGTGGAACCGATTTGAAAAAAAAAACTGTGCGTATCTATATGTACTCGTCTTTAATGAATATAGGAATTTAATTATACTAAAAGCGCGATGAATTCTATGAGCTCTGTTTCGGACAAAAAAAAAAATCAAACTTTTGCAGTACCTAAGTGCTCAACTAGCTTTTAAAAATGTTATTTACGATAATATTAACACTTTTAGCTACATTATTCATTCAGTAGCGTATTAATCTTTACCCCTAGGTTGATTTTGTTACCGTTTTCTCCAAAACAACCGCAGTTTCCTCCTAAAAGAAACTCTTATAATATTTTAAATTTATATTATTTCAAATTAATTTTTTTTTGTCATCATAAACTAAATAAGATATTTAGACATCACTGGCCACTAACTTCCAATAATAAAGGTCGTTAATCTTTTACTCGCGTCCTGTCACTTATAAACTCACTAAATCGCGTGCTGTATTCTGTCCATCCACCGTCTTTCTGGGCTTTTTCCGTTTGGCTTGCATTGAATTTCTGCTTTAATGCTGTACTTGTTTCCTCCTCCGCATGCCGTGATACATTCACAAAATATTATTTTTACTAGTGATAAATCGTTAAAAACAAAATATGCCGACCGGCCATAAATCCCCATCGTGTAGGAACAAGCCTACTTATTTTGAATTCGCCACTGAATCCGTTTGTTGGAACATTGCCGTTTTACCGTCAGGTTTCATAAATTAAAACAATTTTCTGAAAAAAATTAATTTTTACATTTCGTTTGATTATTCTGACAGCTAATCAAATTGTTATTATTAATTTCGGTGTCACTACTTTAAAAGTTATTCGGTTATTAACAAATGGTTTTTTCAAAAAGTATTTTTTTTTTTTTTTAAACATACACAACAGAAATTATAAAACCAACGGATATTATTATATTCTCTTGATATTTTCTACAAAACTAAACATTTTTAACTGCACTATTATATTATGGACGAATATTATTCGTATTTCTTCCGTTCTGAAAATATTATGTTTATATACTGTAGTCGTTATTATGTTTACTGTGTGTGTATGAACATATTCGCTTAATTTATTGTTTGTTTTTTTGTGTTTCTGACGAAATTATTTTTTTCCCTTTTTTTTATTAGCACTCATATATTTTATTATTATTATTATTATCCTCATTTTTTGTTACGTAGGTTGATAATAAATTGCAAATCAGCGTACAACAAACGTAACATTGTCTAATTTTAAATTTAATTTTGCGTTTAAATCTGTAGAACTAAACAAGAATAAATATTTACAAAATATAATATGAAGATGAATAATGAAAATTCAGACTTCTAAAATATATTCTTTAAAAGTATTTATTGTGTACAAATAGCGATACTATTTTAAAAGGTATTTCGAAAATGTATTTATAAATACATTCAAATATTTTTTTCACACACTATCCAATAGGTATTGTAGAGTCATTAATATTATTTTGTTAGATTTAATACTAGGGTCTAGTAAAAATCGAAATCAATTAAACGTTCAACATAGTGTAATGTGAATACGTTCCAATTCTAATAATATATTCTTATGGAAAACGGCTTTAATATCTGTGGAAGTATTTGAAATACACAATGTCAAGTATTTAATTGACATACGTATAATTGTATTTAAATACATTTATTCTAAAGATGATTCTGAATACTCTTAAGTCTAGATAAGCATGCAACTTTAAACGTCTAAAAAAAAAAAAATGTTTAATTTCCGATTGGTATCCGGGATTTTTAGGAATTCCGTTCGACTATAAAAAAATTAAATCAAATGATATTTAAAACGAACACGGATTTGTTCGATAAGCACAACAACAATAACACCTGCCCAAAATCATTTATTTCCACTTTGATTTTTAACGATTACGTTTATCTTATTATGTTATACGAACTCCAGTCATTTTTGTTGTGAATATTAAATACCGTTGTAGGCGTTATATTTTCATATAAATATGAATTATTTCGATATAATATATGTGTATAATAGCAGGTTCACATAGGTATCTGATGATAATAATACAATAATTTATTATATCTTTATCTATTGTCGTATTTCCTAAATAGTCACAATTTGTTGTTTTAAATTAACGTTTGTTTTCCCATTGTCAGTCTACAGAAGAAAAATAAAACATTGTTATACACATTCTGGTCTGGTGATATTAAATTCAAGGTGGTTAGATATTTTATCGTGTAACTACGTTTTCCGTGTCAGATTTAAAGGATTTTAATGAAATTCGTTTTTTTTTTTTTTTTTTTTTGAATTATATTTATAATTCGTAAAATTATATACTTTTTTTTCTAATCTTTGATACGTCTTTATTAAGATTATTTATATTACAAAAACAGCACTACTCGTAAGAAACCTTGAGTGTTGACATCCACGAGAAGGGGAAGGAGTAAGACGGGCCATTGCCCCCTTCCTTAAGAAATAACACTAACTTATGATTTGATTACATTTTAATTTAATTTAATCGTTTAATATTTTGAAACTGATTAAAAATAGGCATTTTAAACACTATACATTTTACATGGTACTATATGACAAGTATACATCTGTAAATCCACATTTTCGAAATTCAAGTAGACACTTCGTTATAATAATAACGAACAACATTTTTTCTTCGCATTAATTTTTGACAGGGCATTGTGAAGTTATCACATTAAAAGGCCATCCCACAGAGTCGAATACTTAAACGTAAATGGAAGGGGTTTAGGAGGTAATTCTCACCCCCTCCTCTCACCAAACGACATTTTCGTCTCAGTCCAGATAGTAATTTTATTTGAGAGCGGACCGAATTGATTTTACACGTCTGACAAAAATATTAGCCACCTGACATATGAATGGATATCCATCTCCGACGGGTTGAAAAAATGAAACTTAATTTATACTATTTTATAATGGCTCAATAATATTTGTACGCCTAATATTTTTGTGCCTAATATTAATTTCGCATGCCTACTGCAGTTCGCGATAATATTGTAAATAGGTAACATTATACGTCAACAATAATGTATGCCATTATCACATAATGCGCCATAATCGTTGTTAGATTTACTGACTAACCATTGTTAATGTTATTGTTTTATTTATAAGAACCTGCTAAATCTCGGATACAGACCATTCTTCTGCACCGACTCGATTGCAAACGCGAAAATTAAAATATGAACTGGTTGACCGCGGTAGTCGCGTGTGCGGCGGTATTGTTGCTGTCGAAACTCGAGGTAAGTTAGCTTTTTTTTTTTTTCGTAATTTAACTCGAGAGTTTACTATGAAGTACAAACTATACGGAATTAGGTTTGTTTTAAGGGAGCTGCACACCGAGGAATATTTCTACATGAAACCGTTAAATTTCAAAACAAATAAATACGCACGCCGGGTTTCACGAAACAAAAATGTCGCATAATACTTGTATAATATTTGCCTGACCACGGTTTCATTTGAAATTTGCGATTTTGATTTTACAGTTAAAATTTAGTCAGATTTCATATTATTATTGTTTTGTTATTAAATTATTTTATTCGTGATCAGTTTTTATTGATCAATTATAAATTAATAATTACTTACGACCGGTACAACTTGGACATCACTAGAGGCGATACGTCTTGTCTCCGAATACGCCAATTCGGTGACCGAACGTACAAATTAGCGTTATAGCACTTATTCGGAAGACATTGTTGAAATTTAACAATTTCGGTTTTATTCGTATGCGGCAATTATGTAACAAATTTTATGATATTTGTTTTATAAAGCTAGTTGACTCGGCCTAATTCGACTAGAGCGTAACAATAAGAAATGTGTGAACTAGACTAAGAAGTATGTGTGTTGTTTTTGTCAACAACTATTCTACCAGAAATCGTCTTTTCTAAAAAAAGGCAAACCTTTCTTGAAACATGTTGAATATTGTTGCGGCTGGTTTTTAATTTGTCTAATAGTCTCCTTTACAATTAGAAAAAAACTAGGAAAATCACGCGATAATGGTTTCTGTTGTTTTAGATTTAATTTGTTTTCTATAATTCAGTTAGAAATAATTACGGAAACCTGACATTCTCATAAAATATTTATATTAGCCCTTAATTTCTTGACGCATAATTTTAAAACCAAAACCACGAATTTTAAGTTATTTATACTTACTATTTGAAAATGTCTACATTTTTTTCTTTTTCTTTTTAATTGGTTTTATGTGTATAATATTGAATTAGCCTAGTAAAAATGCTCAAAAATTTGACTGTTGTATAATCAATTTTTTTTTTTATAAGCTTTTCAAGTTCACATGTTTACATGAATTATACAAATTTTAGCATTTCCAAAAATGTATAACCATATTCTGCTCAACATCGTTTTTGTTAGCGATGATTAATCGTTGCGTACAAATATAAATAAAATTGATCCATCTACCTATGTAGGTAATATATTTTAACTATTTAATTTGCAACCTACACCGTGACGCACCCATCAGCAGTATCAGCTATCTTTTTTTTTTATTATTGTTATTATTTTTACAAACAGTGTAATTGTCAACAGAGTGGGACATATTGGGTCATCTGCAGTGAGTTTGCTCACGATTATGCGATAATCATAACAAAGCGCTAATCAATTATATTTTTGTACACCAGCGGTTCCCAAAGTGTGCGCCATGGCGTCCTGGAGCACCTCGGTAACTGTGCAGAGGCGCAGCGTAACCATTTTAAATATTTACTAGTCTAAAAATAAATTTAAAATCGTCATTTAAAATAAATTTTAAATGACAGCGGAAACTGCGAGGCGTCATTTTTTTGGATTTTTCTCGAAAACTATTTTTCAGTTAGTAAAAATTCTCCAAATTGAACCTTGAAAGATGTGGATGCCCAGTAGTACTAGATTGAAATAACTTCTAGATTACCAATATGTTTTCTTTACAATTTGATAAAATTTGATAATTGTTGATACTTGGGTTTTATTTACCTTGGTTACATTTAGCAGTACAATAGGATATACACCACGATTAATACTAATCCGATCACAATATGTTTTTTATTAAAACAAATGGCGGGTTAGGTGCAAGGGTGGGTTGCAAGGTCAGGGCAACGGTGTACTGAGAAAACTATAATTGAAAAGGGGAATCATGAGTCAAAAATGTTTGGGAAGCACTGATATACACGATTAATCTTTATGAAATCTGAATAAAAAAAATTATAAAATAATATTACTCATATATTACTATATGTTTATTATTATTATTATAGGCCGCGGGTACCTAACCTGCTACTAGGTTTAATCTAGAAGTACTTGAATCACGCGCAAGATCGAATTAAAAGATTAGAATGTACAGGTACGCGATCACGATGTCGATATACACATGAAACAAACTCTAACGAAAATCATCAAAAAATGACCAGTGACTACTCCAATGTACCAACTAGAAAACATGTTATAATAGAAAGGATTCTATAATCGTAATTAAATATCTGATAAAAAAAACTACTTGAAATAAGAAAATAATAGCTGACATAGGGGAAGTTGGAAAGGTCAGATGTGTAAATTTATTTTCAAAGATCGTAATATTTACGATTTTAAAATAATACATTTCGTAAATTTTCACGGTTTTCCTCATTTATTATGAAAACCCCTAGGAAAATCAAAAAATGACTTCCTTAAAGTACCACCCCATTAAAATTTCTAGAAGAAAAATTGCTCACAGGAAAAAAAAAATCATTGTAAAACCAATATAATTATTTTCGTTAGGTTTTTTAGATGTTTTTTCTGTTTTGCTCAATTATAATCAAAACTACTTGTAAAATCAAAAAAAAAACCTCTCTAATGCATCGACTTGGTAACATTTTATTTCAAGGAAGTTGCTACACTTGGTACATCGGAGAAAGATTTCTTTTCGAGAAGGTCTTTAACATAAAAAATAGACACAAAAAATTTAAAAATTACAAAATGAAAATTCACACAAATCATAGTAAAACCATAATAAATCCGTCGTTACGCTCCGAATCGAACGTCTAATATAATAAAAACACTGTTTACATAAGATAAATATCTTGAAAAGTTAAACTTTATAACCTAGTTAATACGTTATAACTATAATACAAACAAATAAATTAACTTAAATGCGTTCTCTGTATTGTTAGTCATCATGTGGCATGTTAGTTTTCGTAAGCGTTCCAGCTCGTAAATTTTTCCATTTCGAACACTGATAATAAATTTAAGGAAATCAGACAAGTAGTAACAATTGAACAATACCTATAGGTATATTAAATAAGCACAATTTAATTACGAGTAGGTACCTATGTCCGGAAATTTAAAAAAAAAAAACTCAACAGTATTATAAAATACATAAAAATGTAAACATAATATAATATTTTATATTACGTATACATTAATGAAATTCATCTACGCTTTAAATGAGCCGGACTATCTTTATTCGGTAGTGGGTACTTGGGTTCTCGATTTGGTACGTGTATTGATATACACGTGTACACGTACCTTAAATAATGAAATGTAAATGCTAGTGTATTTAATTAAACGTGTTTTTGAAGTCCGTATACACGTGTCTTGAAAGTTTATCTATCCGTGTATTAGAAGTTGACCAAATGTTAAAATTATTGTTTAACTCAAGTTAAGTTAATTAGAAAAAAAAAAAAAAAAATGCACATTCTCTATTACCTACTACAAGTATAATGGCGTAATAATCTACCTACAACCTCTAACCGGCAACAACAGTAAAAAATTACATGTTTCAATAACAATTCGTATTTTCAAATGTTCATGATATTATATTTGATATTAATATATAATTAACGCTAGTTAATTAAAAGTTAATTTGTTTGTATTCCTCAAGTTAACAATTAAGTTAATAGTTCAAAAAACAATAAATTAATTACGTTAAAAAGTTAAATTTACTTAACTTTAACTTATTAACTAGTTAATGCCCAACATTGTAAAATAGTATTAAAATAAGTAATTAAAGTATTAAAAACATTTTGTACAGACGTGTATGAATTAATTTTCCGTACTGCTACCATATAGCCTTCTGCATACCACCATGTTGCTTACCGCGTACCACAGTTTAAGAACCGCCACTGTAGACTGCAGGTCGATATTCAAGTTAATTTTGATACATTTTTGGTTAATTGACCTGATATTGACAGTGTCGACTTTACAGAGGCACGAATTTTGTCACGCTATGTATAAAAAAAAAAAAACAAATAATAACTTATACTATGTTGATCAGACTTTAGTTTTGATATTAAAAAAAGTCAATTATTCAAATAGTAGTTGTAGATATCAGAGATGTTAACAATTTAGACTTCGATATTCGATACCCATGAATAAAAATAAAATACAAAAACATATTATATTAATTACATTACTTACATATATGTCCATACGTTATTATAAAACAGTCAACACTGTTTAGAATTTGGATGTAATAATAGGATTATTTTAGTATTTGTATGATTTATTGAGACATTTAAATTTTTTTTTTTTTTTTTTATACTTATTTGGGATTTATTCGGGTTTTTTTTTTTTTGCACAATTGTTTATAAAAATAATATTCATCAAAACAACTACGTATTACTTTTATTACGAATAGTATCCAATTTAATTATTTAGTGTGAGAAAAAGGAATGTACAATTAAATCTATTGTGTTTATTAATCAATCAATCAATGTATCGCAGGTACTGGTTTTTAAATGTAAAAGAATCAGGTATACCTATACGTTTTGTTTGAAGCAGAATGTTTTAAATTCCTTTGGTTTCGATACGGCATATTAAATCAGTTAAGTGGATAATTGTTTTCTTATTTTAGATATTTTTTTTAAATAATTGATATTTTTAGTGCGTATTTTAGAGGTTTTAAGTGTGCATATTTACTTGCATATTTAATATGATTACAAGTAATTTAACATAAGCTACAAGTCTTACTCTGCCCTAATATTATAATGTACACTTCAGTATTACAGCAATGTACATTATTATAGAATAAATATCTATTAAATATTTTTAAAAAATTTGAGTTTTAAAAGCTCGCCTATTCTTATGTTTGTGTATTTTTCATCAAATCATTTTTATCAAGTAATTCATCACGTGAAAAACATATAGGTAATTGTTTTTGTTTTATTTAAATGGTATTACACGTGCAGTTTTTTAATGAGTATACATTATAAAAGAAGACGTAATATCAAGTTGAGTTTGTAAAATAATAAAATTATATCATATCAGTTAACTGTCATAATCAGCTTGACAGCTTATCAGCGCTCCGGAGCAGACCGTATGATTTATTGGTTTTACTGTTATTACGTATGTTATTTTTTCATTCTATAAACAACTTTTCGAACTGAAAAATTGCTCCTGTCGAAAAATTATAAGTGACTTTTTTGTTGGATTTTTAATTTAGTTTGTGATAAGGAAAGTCAATGAACGATCTTTTCTGTAGTTTAAAAAAAAAAAAACCGTAGTAATAATGATTGAGAAAATAATGATTTCATTATTTTTCAATTTTGTTGTAATTCGTTTAAAAATATTCGTGTAGAGAATTTAAATTTTATCAGAACACTAACTACTGTACTTACCTTTTCCAGACGATCAAAAATATTTTAGCGATTGTTGAGTTATTTGTAAGCATTTTATCTTTACTTAAGTTGTTTACGTAGTTTTTATTTGGTGGGTTCTAGATGGATACAATTATTTTTTGACCAAACGTAAACGCTTAAAAATTTACCACGAGATTCATTACAAGTTATGGACTTAGTGGTCAAAGAATAAAAACTAGAGTGTAATAATACAGTCGTTTTTTTTTTTTTGTACACTGATGTTGTAAAGAGAACATTGTGATGAAAATCATAATGAATATTACGGCCTTACAAATCGTGTGTAAACGAATTTCATTCAGAATCGTTTTCCGTTTTCAATGGTTTATCGTTGTATACGGACATAAATCAAATAACTTTACGGATCCTCCTTCCGAACTCCGCGTCTACAACAGTGGCGCACCCATCGGCGGTATCAGATTTGTATTTGATTTTCTTTGTCCACCAAATATAATTGAAAATAAACTCTAAAATGAACACCGTGTTAAATTTTCTGTTTGGCCGGACAAATCTTGCCTCACTCGTTTGATAACTGATGTTCAGGGCCGCAAACATATTATATTTTATCGTTCTATCTGCGTACCGCGATGATAATATAATTTTACGTATTTATGGTGTTGTATTTTTTGTTTTGTTTTTTTTTTTTCATAGGGTTTCGACTGCGATACCAACTGCGATACGCTAATATTACCGGAATCTAAATATCCATCGACATCCGACGAGTTTCACTTGTCGCCGTCCGAAATCGCTCTGCTGTCTTCGAAGGTTTCCGCGGCGGCGGTCCAGCCGTCGCCGCAAAGTTCGCCGACAACACTCGCGCTGATCAACGCCATCTCGACGTCGCCGTACTTGCTGTCTTACCTGCCGCCGCCGTTGGTTTTTAATTTCCTCAGCGAGTTGACCTCGTCGCCCGTCAATTTGCACTCCGTAGAACCGTCGACCGTCGCGTCTTTAATCCACTCGCTGTGCTCGTCAACGTCCCTGTTCAAAGTCGCGCCGATCCGCGCGCTGGTCGATTTCGTGACGGCGATCGCCGTGTCTCCGGAAATCCTGAGCGCCGTGCCGCCGTCCACGATCGTCCGTCTTTTGAACAAGATCCACGGCGAAACGCCCGGCGTACTGTGCGCCCTGTCTCCCGCGGTGAGAGTCTCGTTGATCTCGTGCCTGTTGTCTCCGGGGGTGCTCGGCTCGTTAAAACCGACCGACGTCCTGTTCCTGGTCCGCATGTTTCTGGACACCGGACGCGTACTGGCCGAATTGCCGTTTTCCGGTGTGGTCGAGTTGCTGAAAACGATATCGTCGTCCCCGGTACTCTTGGGCAACATACCCACGTGTCTGATAGTGGATTTGCTGCACCGGATCTCCGAACTGGCCTCGTCGTTGTTTTGCGCGATCCCGCTGGACGTCACCAACGCATTGCTCGGCCCGATCATCACGGCCGTACCCGGTCAATCGCCGACGACGCTCTTACGGCTGACCGCCGTCGTGACTTCGTCGCCGTACATATTCAACATACTGGATCCGTCGATTTTGTCTTCGTTGTTGATCGCGCTGTCGCAGCCCGAAACGCTGAGCGCCGTGCCGCCCGCCGTGCTCGTGAAACTGTTGACCGACTTGTCGAACAGACTGTCGAAAAACATCAAAGCCGAGGCAATCGTCGGCATACTGCACGGTATCGCGTCCGCGTCGCCCGATCTTCTGTGCGATTTGCCGTGTTCCGCGCGTTCCGTTTACGTGACGAGTTTAACCTCCCGCGAGGTGACCGACACGCTTTCGCATCAAACGAGCGTCAAACTGATCGACATTTTGTGCAACACGCCGTGCTTCCTGGCGGAATTGCCGCCGAGTTCCGTAAACCGGATAATCGCGTTCGTCGTCTCCGACGAGGAACTCTTGCGCGCCGTACCCCCGGAGAATATCGTCGGTTTGATTTTCAACATAACGGTCCTGTCGCCGTCCATGTTACGGGAGACGCGGCCCGGCGACATTGGGAAACTGTTATCGCCGCTATACACAACGTCGGCGTTGAGCGCGTTGCGTCCGAGTTGTTTTGAAAAACTGTTGTCCAGCATTGCGTGTTCCCCGTTTCTGACGCGCGCGATCCCGGCCGCCCAGATCGTAAACATACTCACCATGCTCAACTCGTCCCGCGATACCATCAAAGAGATACCGTACAGCGTTTACGTCAACATGCTAACGCACATTTTCACCACGGCGGAGCTTTTATCCGAAATCCCGTTCGTTTTGCTGTTAAACCTGCTGGTGAAAATCGAAAGCGATTGCGCGCCGGGCGTGGTGTGCGCAATACCGCCCGCCGCGATTTCCGCGTTTTTCGACTATCTAACAGAGAAACCCGCCGCGTTGAGGTCGTGCGCGCCGACGGACATGAGAAACATAGTGTACTTGCTGGCGAAATGCCCGTACTTTTTGACGCAAACGTCGACGGCGACTTTGAACGTTCTGTTGGAATCGATAGCCGCGTTGTCCGCGGTCGCCAACGCCGTGCCGACCGAAATATTCGTCGAACTCGTCGACAGCGTGTGTTCGCTCTCCCCGTCCATATTCTGTTCGCTGTCCCCGAGAGCGATTCGCGCCATAACGAACTCGTTCGATTCGCTCGACACGTTAAGCGGTTTGAGTTCCAAAACCATTGTCGAGCTGACGACCGCCGTTTCGGGATGCCCATGTCTGCTGTCGGCTCTGGATCGCCGGACGGTGGCCAACCTGCTGGACGCGTTGTCCGCGTCACCGGGCGCGCTGCGCCTCCTACGGCCCGACGTTGTCGTAAATCTAATCGCTTTGATATCGTCCGGCGACGGCCCGACCACGACCGTGCCGGCGTATCCGCTGATCCGGTTCCTGCGAGCGTTGTCCTTGGTGTCGCCGTCCGCGTTATGCGCAATACCGACGTCGGTGTACACGGTGTTGTTGAACCCGCTGAAATCGCTGAACGCGGTCAACGATTTGACATACACGGGCGTCGAGAATTTAATAGACGTCTTGATCGCGACCCCTTGTCTTTTGGGCGCACTGCCGCGGCCCATATTGGCGAATACGATCGTCGCGATAACGCACACGTTTACCGCTTTACCGTACGCGAAAATAATCGCCCTGTTGACTGCCGTACATTCCGTATCGCCGTCGCTAATGTGCATTGTGCCGGACGACGTGCTGACGGAATTGCTGGCGATTTTCGCCGTCCAATCGGAACTAAGCGCGTTGCCGTCGGAATTTCTCACGGCTTTCGTCGGCCTCGCGTCCTCTTCGCCGTGTTTGTTGGACCTGATGCCGGCGCCCGCGCTCGAATCGCTCCTAAAGCATTTGTCGTCGTCACCGAGATTGCTGAAAGACGTATTGCCGTCTGACGTGTTGGAAAATTTCCTGATAAAATTGTCGTTGACGCGGTCGCGTTTGAGAGACGTACGGTTATCGCTGATCGTCCAATTACTGTCGGCTCTGTTCCCCGCGCCGGGCCGCTCGACGTGCGCTCTACAGCCGATGGTGGTGCACGCCTTACTGGCGCCTCTGTGCGACGACCAAACGGTTTTCGAACTCGGACCCGCGGACGTGGCCACATTGCTCGACGTCGCGTCGTCGGTCCCGTGCGTGCTGAACGCCATCGCCGGCACCACGTTGGACACTCTGATTTCCAAGGTGGCCTCGTCGTCGCACTTGGTCACAAACATATCGCCGTCATTGCTGACGTCGTTCATCGGCGCGGTCACGTCTTCGCAAACAGCGCTGAACGCCGTCCGGCCGCTGACCATCGTGCACTTGCTGACCACGGTAGCGATGCGACAGCCGTCCGTCTTGTCGTCCCTGCCGCCGCGCGTGGCCACCGCGCTGCTGGACGCGTTCCGGTCCCCGGAGACGTTCGCCGCGCTGCCGCCGCCCGTCGTCAACAACTTCATAAATCTACTGATGACGTTCCCGAATATATTGGTCGCGCTACCGTTGTCCACGCTGAACGCGCTGTTGGGTTTCTTGTCGTCGTCGCCGACCGCGATCGGTTTGCTGCCGTCGTGCACCCTGGTCAGATTTCTCACCGTGTTGTCCTCGTTGCCGCCGTTGCTCGACGCCCTGCCGCCCGGCCTGCTCGTCTCGTTCGTCTCGGCGGTTTCCGCGGCGTCGCCGAAATTCCTGTGCGTTTTACCGCCCGCCGTCCCGATCGCTCTGCTAAAGTCCGTCACGTCCGACGCGGCTTTGGCGTCGTCCACTCCCGCCACGATCGCTTCGCTGATATCGACGTTGAACAGATCGAGTTGTCTGATCCACGTCGTGCCGACGCCCGTGCTCGTGTCGTTGCTCGCGTTCCTGGCCGGTCATCAACATTTACTGCGCGAAACGTCCAGGTGCGACCTGGTCGCGTTCGTGAACAACGTCCAGTCGCCCGGTACCGTGCCCCGGGTCTGCCCCGCGGGCGCTCATCCGGCGTGCCCGACGTCCAATCACTTCGAAGACTTTTCGTCGTTCAAAATACGTTCGCCGGCCGTAAACGCGGACAACGCTGCGAACGCGACCGCGAAATGTTTAAACCATAACGACAACACCGCGACGAAAGTATTCCCGAACACTCAGATTCCCGGAACGGCGGCGCCCAAATACGAGGCCGGGCCCACCCATACCGGCAGAGACGACGGGCCGCACGCAAGCGCGACCGACAATCCCAAAAACAACGATAGGCTATTCGACCTGATACCGAAATTGATCCTTCCGGAGACCGCGAACGAAGCTACGGTATACGTATTTCCCAAAAGAAAAACGCGATCGATTTCGAACACGAACACAACCGCGTGACGGGGGAAAATAAAAAAAAACGGTTTTATTAGTAGAGAAACAGTAAAAATCTTATTATATTTTCCTATACAATTACATTCTAGATTGACAATTGTACGAAACGGCGGAATTTCGTAAAACAAACGCGAGGGTAGTACCTGTATTTATGATATATAAATAATGTATTTGTTTGTATATATTTTAGATTTTTATTTGAAATTAATGTTATTTTTCAAAATTCTATAATGAATAGTTTTTTTATTTTTTTTTTTCAAAGTATTACTATTGTTAAATAAATTATTCACGTTAATATAAAAGTCATGTCGTATGCCTTTATATTTTTCGTGCAAATATAATAATTTATTCAAACAAAATTACGATATTGAATTGTTTTTTGTTTCGTTAATTTCAATTGAAATACTGAAATCGGTACTAAATTAACGGTACAAGTTTTGAAAAACAAAAAAAAAAAACCTCCCATTTATTTCTCTACTGGAAATACTAAAAATTCGGTTTTTTTTACTTGTGTTTCGAAAATTACATTTAAAATGCGTTCGCCTTGACGGATGTTGCAGTTCGCACATAATAATACACGGAAGTTGTCCATCAATCTCTTTTTAGCATGACCTGCTCGCTCACCTCTTTTGAGCGGAGATAACTTTTTCGTACGACGGTACCCTCAAAGTCGAAGATTTCAAACACCGTCTTTATAACCGTTTACGAAACTCGAGATCGTTCGTGAAGGATGTCGGAATTCCTCGAGACATTCTGAAGAGAGACAAGACGAGCGATTGAAAACTTCCCGTGGCGGTTCCGTGCTCGCGTCGCCCGTCAGCGCCGACATTTGAAAAACTGTTATTCTTAAATCTGATTTAATTTAAAAAAAAAGAAAAAAAAATCCTCATTATAATTTGTATTTTCTATAAATGAAACATATTTTTTTTTTTCACGTCTTGTAATTTTTCCTTAGAATTTACGTCAGAAACGTGCGTGTTTAATACGTCACACCGTGTATATAAAGTTATAATATCGTACCTATATCGTCAATGTACAACGTAAATTCGCTTTTTACAAATTATAGCAATAACGAAACATGACACGAAACCATACGGACGTATTGTAATGTTGTTTTTCCTCGGTGGTTTTAAATTGAACCGTTCCCGATTAGGCATTCCAATGTTATAACGATGAATAGCAATAATTACTATCTAAATGAATTATACATTCGATTATTATTATTTTGTTTAAAACTTAATAAATTAATTTTGCGTTGACGCAAATACGGTGATGCATTAACAGGATGACAATTAGAATTAGGTTCAGCGACCTTCCCAAAAACAGAAACTCAGCCAAGCTCCCCGAATCACGCGATTGAGTACTATAAATAGCATATCTATAAAGTTTTTAAACTCATACTATTGAGGCTAACCCCCCCCGAAAAAAAAAATCAGACCATCTGTGCCTATAGAACTATTCGGTATTTGTTTATAATCGTGGAAATTAATTTTCCAATCAAAATATTAAACGATCGGATTTCGATTTTCGTTCTGATCCATAAAATCCACGTTCGATCAAACAACACAAAGAAATCTACGATTGACACCTACGTCTTAGAAACGCACGAAATAGAAAATGTTTGTTCAGTAGAACAAAAACGTTGTGCCGTTGGTTTTAATATTAGATAGTCAATCGTATTGTTGTATTGCCAAGCCCAAAGGGAAGAACAGTACGTGCAAGGGCGCCCGCAGGGGGGTGCCGGTGGAGGTCGTGGCCCCCATTTTAATTAATATTAAATATTAATTGTTTCATGATTTGATTATGATCACTTGTATGTTGTAAAAAAAAAGGCTTATACTTTTGACTTTGGCCCCCTCCCCTGGTTTATATTTCTGCGCGCGCCCTTGAGTATGTGTGTGCCCATATGCCAGTGTTTTTTCAATATTTAATTTTCAAACGAGATGGATTATGTGAAATATCACGTCTTACAAATGCTTATATTTTATTTAAAAATTAAATAGATCGATTCACTCTGTTATTTTCAAATCCACGTCACATAATTTATTCTGCTAAACGCGAATTCGCTACTAGTGCCAACCGCTTAAATTACGCGAGTAGGTAATGTTTTTTTTTTTTTTTCATCCTTCTTTATACGTTTAATATAATCGTCCACAATTTCTTTCGTTCCCGTAACAAATTCTCGACTTCCGAACGAGGAAGTGTAATTACTGTTTTATCGCTGCTATTATTATATTTATTTTTTTTTTTACAACAAACCAACGCATTGCGTGATGGTTTTATACCATATAAATCAAATAACAAACCAAAAATGAATTATTAGCGGTTATTAATCACCGGTAACTACCATGCATACGTGATTTGTTTATTTTATTTAACGTTCTAGACTTTCGGTTATTGTGTGCAGCAAAACAAATATTAAGCAGGTACCAGTCGGTATGTATAAGCCCCTCTCATATTATTATTGTTATTATTATTATTATTATTATTATACACAGACTTCTCGCGTGTCAGACAGATAATTACACTTAATCGATCATTTATTATTTAACTAACTATGTTTTTTTGTGTTTTGTTTGATTTATTACGCGTTTAGTGTGATAAATGTGCGATAATGTGCGATTTAACAAATTTTATGAAAATCCGAAAAAAAAAAATAAATAAATAAATAATCTAATCTTAAGAACGTTTAAGGATCAATTATGGAAACAATTCAAAATATCGTTCAACGTATGGTCCGTCGGTCCCTGCGGAAATAAAAACTAATTGGTTGGAGTCGATTTCATATAGCTTTCGATTAAATTGAATTTCGAATATTGCCAAATGTCATAATTGCGTAATCGCTGAATGGCTAAATTGTTAAACGGCCAAACCATAACAACCGTTATCAATGGCATACGTCATTGGTCGTTATTATAATTTGTATGACTTGTGCCATAAACAAAAACAAAAAATAGGTTCATTGTAGTAAGTAATTAGATATATTTTGATTGCCTGTATCTATAACGTGCATTACACTTAGAATATAATATACACGCACATATTATTTAGACCAAACAATAAAAGGGGGGAAAAATGACATGAGCCATAATTTAAAAAATAAAAATTCCAATCTTAAGCCGTTCTTTCCCGGGTCCGAAAATGTATCTTTAGTGTTCTATTTGTATTATTTAAAGGAAGTGTCTGTTTGTGTGTTTGCTTGTGCACGGTCCACAGCCGAGACTATCGCACGCAGAGCTCGGCAAACAGGAGTTTTGTACGTACAGACGAGAGTGAAGTCGGGTCGCTTAAAAACCGGGTTTCCACCGAGTCTTTCGAGTGCTAAAATCTAATTATTTTTGTGGATTTGGGGACACGAATGGCAAATAAACAGTTATTATTAGTGAATTTGGTTATCACAGGCAAGAAATAACACTTTAAAAAAAACCATTTTTGGTCACTTTTGTTGGTGAGAAGATATGAAGACAGAATAGAAGGTAATTTTACTCTTTGTAATACTCTTTGTAGTACCATCGAGATAAAATTTTCTTTCAGTAAAGGCACTACATATGAAAACCTCAAAATCGGAGCAAGATTTTGGTAGAAAAGTTTTGTACAGACAATGAAACTCACTACGCTTCGAATCTAAAAATTCAAAATGCGAGGTAACAACAGTTCAACACGATAGGGTGGAGCCACGGGAGCAGAAACGCGGAGACAAAGTTTATATTTTGTTATTTACGTTATTTGCCATCGTTCAATAACATTTCGTACGCCTAGAGACTCGTAACGTCTAGGGTAACGTCGGGGTGTGATTACGTATGATTGATAACGACACATTAAACTACGGCAAACACAGTGTCGGTAATCAAAACAAAATCGGCGGTAAATTTGAATCGATAAATCGGAAAACGGCGGGCCGTGTAGCAACGTACAGTATGTCAAGAGGAAGTTATACCCGCATCTGCTGTCTCGGTTCGACTACCGGGTAACATGTGAAACCAATGCTTACGTAGAACGAGCAAAACTACCTTAATTTTGATTTTATAGTAAAAGTACCTATTATGAAATGTGTAGAGAACAATATTTTGTAGGAGATTTCAGAGGGTTTTCGTATTATTAAAAATATACAGCTCGATATGACACATACAATTACATTTTTTTTTTTTTTTGTTTTTTAAATAACTATAGGTTTTTTAATAGTTCATAATTCAAAATAACGCCTACGGCGTTCCCTCCGAATTATCGTTCTCTATGCATTTCATAATGGGTACTGTTAATCTTAAACCAAAAACCAAGCTGGTTTTTACTTATTCTGCGTAAGCATTGTTTTCGCATGTTACCCGGTAGTTGAACCGAGACAATAAACGCGGGCACGACGTCCTCTCAACGCGCACGCGGGACAACTAATAGTAAAAACGATCATGTTTGTTATTATTGTTGTTTTATGATCGCCTCGTCATATGTCCGAGGACCTTCGAAAAATCGTCTGACTTTTACTTAACGAAATATGCGTGTAATATGTTGAACGTTGGGCGGATTATTGGCGGAGTTCGAATCCGATCGTGACAATACACCAATAATGAATAATATTATCGTATACCCGCACAGCTGTGTCCGCGTTCAAGGCGAGTAGTTTTCGATAGAACTGTGCATTGTGTAGTAAATCATTACCCCGGAAGACCGCGCGTTCCAATGGATACCGTAATGCTGACAATTTCGTATTAAAATGTTTTCCTCGGACACGCGGTCAGGTTAGGCAATTTTCCGTGAAAAATATTTTGCACGGGATGGCCCGTGAAAATAAACCCGTTTTGCGACGTCTCGGAACGCGGGTTGTCCTTCTTCGGAATAATTTTTTTTTTTTTTGGTTTTCGAACGGTCCGAGCAATTCAATGTCCACGTTGCCGTTGTTTTTCGACGGTGAAACGGCCAACACCGGCACTGTCGATTTTCAAATGGCGACGCGTATTGAACGTTTCATAAATGGACGGGAGCCGTTGGTTTCTTCGAATGCACGTCTTCGTCGTTGACGTTTCGGGTTTCCGCCGACCCGTCGACAAACAGGTATGCCGCTCGCGAGTTCGCGTAGGGGACGAGTGGCGGAGCGTAATTTGCGGCGTGTCAACCGCCGTTCATCCGCGTCCAAACTCGAA